TAAAATTAAGCTAGATTTCAGCTACTCAGAACAATTGCAAAAGGCTATAACCTGGTGCGCCTCATGGCTTTTCCAGACCTGGTGGGGAAAATGAACAGGTTCTTCTACCATGAGGATGTGACAGATCCAGATATGAAGCGTTTACAGGTCCCGCCAAGCCCTTCATATGGAGCCCTGAGCATAAGGTCAACCTAGGCAAAAATGGAATATGGGTGTTTTGGACCAAAAATACATGCACTACCTTCCCTACCCTGCCTTCAGCTTAGTAGCCCATGTTCCTCTTTGTCTATCACACTGAGTCGGGCCTGACTTGGATGGTGAAGTGCATGATCCAGCTCTGTCTTCCTGGCAAATGGAAGGTGCTGTTGGCAGTAATTAGGAGAGTGAGAAGCTCCTTGTGACTGCTTTGGAGAATGGGAGCAGTGAACTCAGGGAGTGGGAGCGATGCCCTATTCAGTCCTCACTTCACCTGCCTGAGCCAAAAAACCATGCAGACCCCTAAAATGCTTCCTGGTGGTGGCCTCGTGTCACTCTAAAACGTCTCCGCGCAGTACCCATCCAACTGTGGCCTTCTTACAGAGCGTTCTGTCCCTGCCTGCCTTGCTTCCCAGCCTCCAGAGCCCAGGTAGTTCTACTCACTCAAAAGTACTGGCATTCTTTCCACCTTCCCATTCTTCTCAGATCCCAGGTCCACCGTCAACGGTATTTGTTGTACCATGTGTGTGTGTTTTGTCTGTGCTAAATTCAGATTTTTTAAGTAAAGAATCTAACTGTGTCATTGTGTCACCTTCCGAATTGAGGGAATAAACTCAGCATATTATCTACAGGCAAAGTGAGTGTCTCCATGTGTTGCTTCAACTGGAGAACTGAAGACGAGGAGGTGCCTTCTGGGAAGTGGATGTTTCCGTGTTTGGCTTTTAGATTGGAGCTCGTGCAGGGTGAATGGCTTCTATTTCTTCTTAAAGAGTGAAGCAGAAAGAATGGGGGATGGATAGCTGAAAATTGAGTTCATAACTGATCTTGAGTTCCATTTTTGCAATTGTATACCTCTGTCTCTAAGGCTGAAAACTAGAGATAACTCTTTACAAGCTCAAATGCTTAGATGAGGATAAGTTTTAAACAAGTTAAGAGATTTCTGAGGCTGGCCTGGTAGTGTAGTGGTTAAGTTCATACACTCCACTTCGGTGGCCTGGGGTTCGCAGGTTCAGATCCTGGGTGCAGACGTAGCACTGCTTATCAAGCCACACTGTGGCAGCATCCCACATAAAATAGAGGAAGATTGGCACAGATGTTAGCTCAGGAACACTCTTTCTCACAAAACAAATAAATAAATAAAATTTAAAAATAAAAAAATTAACACCTGGTTTAAAAAAGAGAGAGATTTCTACTATAAAGTGATGTTTCTGTTTTACCTGGTAGGACGCCACCTGTGTTTTCCTCGGGTGACACTGCCTGAGCAAAAGTAAGGCTGAATCAACTTTGTTGTGCTAGTAGAAGGAAAGGGACCTTGATTTTGTCCAATTGGCAATGTTTCTACCATTTTATCACTTTATGGATTAAATGAATGGTGTGTGGTCACTGGCACCTGGGGAGCCTGCCTCGCACTTGGATGCCATGAGCTTCTCCTTTCATCAGCAGGAAAGTGTGCGATACTGGATGAAGAAACGATCAACAGAGGCCAGCTCAGCACTTTGCTCGAGTGTCATATTAATGTGGGTAGTGTCAGGTGCTGTGGCCGTCTAGGTAGTAGGGGCTCATAGGTCCTGCCCCACTGGTGTCTTACTATGGGGTTAAATGTAGTTTTAAAGCAGTAAAGTAGGTGACTCTCAGAGATACCAGAGCGGGGACTGCTAAGATTGCATGGCTGCCCCTGCCCCACCTCGGAAAGTTATCTACAGAATATTCCAGTAGGGTCCCAGGATTTTGAAAGTATTAATATATATATCAACATGTAGGTATTTTGGGGTTAAATGGAGTATAAAATGCCTCTTTACCTTAAGAATGTTAGCAACAAATAAATTCAGTTGTGAGGCCAAGACTCCTCATGACTATGGAGATTGTGTGTACACATGGGAATCTCTGTCTTGGCCTGTATTTCATAAAGTCTGGTTTTGCCATACTGAAGAGTATTTCATGTTTAGAAGCTTGCTGTTGGATTGTTCAGATTCAAGAAAGTGCCAATTTTTATAATCTTAATACCATCCCTAGCTTCATGCTGAAGAGCTATGGGGGGTTAGAGAAGACGCTTACAGCTGAGCAGTGTGCTTTGGTTGTTTGGCTCATAGCATTTGTCCATGAGATATGCCTCTGATTCTTTAAGGTTTTGTATGGTAAACTTTATATAGCATACTACCAGTACCTTAAACAGTTCAAAATCTGAGGCAGCTTGTTTTTAACCTCTTTTAACTTGCTCATATATTCCTAGATGAAGTAGCCTGTATTTTCTTTCCCTCTAAATTGCATTCATATTCATCTATTTGTGAAGATTATAAATCTTTCTGGAGAGTAGGCAAATACAGGATGAATGTAACATAAACTTTTTTCATATTTTTAAATTTTATATTTCTATCTTTTTATAGTGACTAAACAAGTATATTTCTTTTTCAGATTTTATTTACACATTTCTTTTTGAGATGTTTTTGAACTACATTTTTAAAATCAATACTTTTCTGCTTTCTTTTGGTAGATTTTAAATAACTGATAATATTGTGAGGGTTTTTTAATTTGTGTTTTTCTTTGTTTTAAGTCTAAATTGTTGGCTATTTGTTTTGCTTGTTGTGGTAGTGTACTAGTCATTCTATATGTTTTTCCTAAAATGCAATTTTTTAAAGTTTTCTTTAGGAAATATTATTTTCTAAATTTTAGCTTTAAGTCAGTCAGCATATTTCACTGATATCCCTCTGTAAGATATTCATTAGATTGCTATTTATGTTGATGCATGTTTCATATTCATTTGATTTACATATATAAACATTTATAATTAAATATCAAGAGAAAAATCTTCATAAATGATTTAGATCATACTAAATGTAAAAAATAATATAAGTAGCCATTTTTGTGATAGCTAACCTGTATTTCAATTAATTTGCTTAAATTAATAAATAAGTTAACTGAGATTACTAGGGTGTAAGTCTGTCATTTGTAATTTCTTTTATTAACATTAGCAAGTTGATATATTTAATATTCCTGTGTTGAAATGAAAAGACATTAATCTGAATTAACACTAAACACATTATACAGTAGCTTTTAAAAAAATCTGACTATCTGATTTAATAATTATGAATGTGATAGGTCAAATACAGTTCTTGATAGATGAGTTGATAATATCACAATCCACCTTCATAATTAAGTACCAAGGGTCCATTCTTATTCAACAACTTCTTTAAGGCTGAGTAAATATGATCTTAATTAAACTCACAGATAATGCTATGGGATGTTGATTGCTCCAGTAAGGAAAATAAAATGATGCAGCCTGACCTTCAGAAATTATAAATATGAGAATGTTGACATGATAGTAAACAGACATCTAAGGGAGAAATTGCTTCCCAAGTCAGTACTGCTGAAAGAAATTGGGTTTGGTTTTGAAATGCATTATTTGGATATTTAGAAATGTTCCTTCCAATTATTTTATACAAACTCTCAAATATGTCCACTATACCTAGTTTAGAAGTCCAGTGTGAGGCTGGCCCAGTGGCACAGCAGTTAAGTGCGCACATTCTACTTCTCAGCGGCCCGGGGTTTGTCGGTTCGGATCCTGGGCGCGGACATGGCACCGCTTGGCAAGCGCCATGCTATGGCAGGCGTCCCACGTATAAAGTAGAGGAAGATGGGCACAGATGTTAGTTCAGGGCCAGTCTTCCTCAGCAAAAAGAGGAGGATTGGCAGCAGATGTTAGCTCAGGGCTAATCTTCCTCAAAAAAAAAAAAAAAGTCGTCAGGTGAAAATTCCTATTTCAAGACCTTGATATAACAGAGATAATATTCTGAATTAAGAAGATGTTACAATAAACCTTTATTGGTGGCTGAGGGCAGCCCGAGTGTAGCAAGATGGAATCATGGTGCCCTGAACCTTGTTAAAGGTGAATTCAATGACGTAACCTGCTGGTTTTTATTAGCTTTGTCTAACTTCTGTACTGATAATAGAGAATGAAGTGCCTGTCTGTACTGAAGAAAAGCAAATGAAAATAAGATAATATCCACTTTATCATCAGCCAGTTTTGCATTTACCTTATCCTTTGAGGCTTATGAAAGTTACTTTGGAATCCAATTAACCATTTTATAACTTTCTACTAGCAGAAACAGGGAAAAATAGATGCCCTCTGCCAGGATATAATGATTTATTCTTCCTCACTGAGGATAAAAACAATAGGTAGTGTGCCTGTGAAAAAAGACTTTGCTATTATTTTAATACAAACTGGAATCTGTTTTTATGATTCCAAAATATTTACCTTAATAGGAATTTGAATGCAGTATACAAGATGAAAAATGAATGAGTGGTAAAATACATTCATCTTAGGCATCAGCTGTTCTATTGACAAAAGGCACAAATATGAAATTTGTCTAAATAATTAGATTTTTAATTAGTGCATCATTGTAAGATTAATGTCATTGCACTTCATTGCATGTAATTTTGTATTAGACATTTTGTGTCAACAAAAATGCTACCTGTGGTTTGCTGGTTTGAATCCTTAATTTATCGCTTGTGTGTATGACATGTCACATATTTGCAGTCGAGAGCTGAAAGAAGGCATTTGATTATAGCTTCACTGTGGTGAGGAATATTGATGGTGTTATATTATATGAATACATTATGTTTTCTAATATTTAAGAGGCAGCCACCTCTCAAATATTAGTGAGTGCGTATTATCTTGCAAAAATTTTAGCAGTAGCATGAGCAGATAGCTTGTTCAAGCTCTAGTCTGTGCCTATGTTGAATGTACCTAAACATTATTGATGCTGTGTACTCTTTCTAATACTTTATTTTTACTTTCCTTTTGACAGTTGCCGAACAAGCAACCGGAAGAGCTTGATAGGCAATGGGCAGTCACCAGCATTGCCTCGACCGCACTCACCTCTCTCTGCTCATGCAGGTAATTAATTACCCTTTCTTAGGTTTGGTTTACTTCTTTTTGCTAATTTTTAAAACAATACAGGCATTTTGAAATTCAGATGAGTCTTCACATTTTGTTATCTTGGTTTTCCTGTTGTTTTATCAATAAGTTGTTCTTTCTGATAAATTAGCCCAAACCTTATCCGCTCTTTCAGAGTATTTGGACTCTGAAATTAAGAATTTCTTTTTGTCTGGGATCCTTTTTCAATGATGTCTTTTTCCATTTCTAAATTTGTGGATGATGCAAGACATTTCCATGTCGGGATTTTCTTTAGGAAATGCAGACGTGTTAGTTCACAGAGGAGAATTGGTATTGAGAAGAACTGTAGGGGAGGAAAAAATATTTTTCCTTTACTCTTCTAAGTTCTCCACTGGGCACCCTGTAACCAAAGCCAGATTAACAAAACAGCGTACAAATTTATTTAATGTAAGTTTTAGGTGACATGGAAGCCTTCATAAGGAAATGAAGACCCAAAGAAATGGTTAAAACTGAGTGGTTTTATGCTAGATTTGATGAAGGATGGAAAGTTGTGCAAAGATGTGACAGGACAAAGGTGAACTAATTGTAGTCAACTGGGGGAAACTTAGCAAGGCCTGTTCGGGCACATTCTTCAGTGTCCCTTTGTCTTCAGAGATAAGGACGCTGCTTTCCTCTGGGTATAGGGAAGGTCCCTCCCTCATAAGGATTTTATGACCTACTTTAGGAGCAGGTCAGAACGTCCTTCCTGAACATGCTGTTTCTCAGATTCCTTAATCTTAAAATATTCGATATGCCAAGATGCCATATTTGAGGTCATGTGTCCTAAATTCCATCAGAATTATTCAGCATTCTTTTCTCCCTAAAGTTGAACTTATCTCTTATATATGTTAGCTATTACAAACAGTGCTGCTATGAGCGGCCTCAAACATGTCTTCTCTTGTATGTGTGCAAGAGTTTATTTAAAGTTTAACCTGGCAGTGGCCTACGTTACTTATCTATTACATCCATAACCATTGTAGGGACAGTGAAGATTCAAGAGATGAGGCCTTTGGCCTCAAGTACTAATTACAGGGAAGTTAGAGCCATATTACAAAAACTGCAGTGAAGACTGCTTTGTATGTTGTGGGGGTTTTTGTTTTGTTTTTTTGTTTTTTTAAGTTCTATTCAAGATGGTGCAAAGAAGAGAAGGGTTAATTCCAATCAGGAAAGTCTGGGAGTGTTTGAAGAAGCCGCTTGCTCAAGATGTTGAAAGATGGGCAAGACTTTGGCAGGTAGAAATGGGATGAGAGAAGGGGACTTCTCAGTGTGTGGCTAGAGTGTGAGATGTGTCTGCTTGACTGTAAGAGAACATAAAGGTGGAAACAGAGAGGAAAGTCAGGGAGTAGAAGGAATTTTTACTTTGAGTGCTTTAAAGGATTTTGGGGAGGATATGTGTTTTAGGAAGATGTCTTCAGGATTGTGATGGACAATGGTTTGAAAGGATGAACAAGTAAGCCCTACCTCCGTTGTCCTCTTGTGAAAACGCTAGTTTAATGCTGATGGGCTTTCAGATGATGTTGACTTCATATTAAAAGTAGGGCTGTGACTCTCCCCCAGAAGGAAGTCCTTTTGCTCCAGGGGGCCCTCCAGTTGAGAGTGGGAGTTATCTGTAACACATTTGGGGAGAAGAAGGGAGAGAGAGAGGTAGCTGCCCCTCTGGAATGAAATTTGATTTCCCCCATAATAATAAGTGAAAGATGATAAAGTAAAAAGGTAAAAGATAAATTGATAAAATTATGATACTGTGACAAGACGACCAAAGTCCAGAAATGCCACTCCAGGGTAAAACTTCAGAGAAACTTTTGCACATGTACTCAAGAAGACGTGCTCATAGCAGCATTGTTTGCAATAGCTGAACATTTGAACCAACCTAAACATCTATCAGTTGGAAAGTGGATAAGTGAATTGTGGCATAGTCATCCACAGAACACTGTGCACATAGAAAACAAGTGATCTAGCACTGCACATGGCTGCGTGGATGAAACTCAAGGATAGTGTCGGAGAACAAAAGCAAGTGCAAAAGAATATTACGTAAACCATTCGTGTAAGGTTAACATGACGCTACATACAATATTTTATTTGGGGGTACACACACACATAGACAATGAATACGTATGCATATGTAGATATACATTTGTAGTAAGAGTCTGAAGGAAAACATGGTAATTTTAAAGACAAATTTCATAATAGTAGTTACCTCTGAGAAGGTGGGAGAGAGATATAATTGGAGCAAGGGCTAAGCAGTTGGTAATATTATTTTTCCAAAGCTGTCTGATGAGTTCACAACTATTTGTATTGTTACCATTGATACTTTGGAGATTTATATTACATCATTGCCATAATAGTAAAAGCTGACAGAGGGTCTCGGAAGGCCAAATACTTTGCACTCAGACTGGAATCATATCTTTTTCTCATCTTTACATTCTCCTAGCACAGTGCCTCGCAGTATATAACGAGGTGCTAAGTGAGTGATGAATTCTGTTTCTCACGTATAATCCAATAGTGATTAAAAACACTGAATCCTACTCCTCTTTGTGGTGTTCTGCAGTAATTGCGCCATGCTTTATGTGCCTGTTGATTAGTCTTTTATTGTTGTGCTTTTCTTTAGTTCTAATATTGAGATTAGAGAAAATGTAGTTAAGACTTTAATGATCCTTTTAATTATTTTTCTTGTTTCTGTGTAGACTTAGCTTGAATTCTTTCCCCCCTAACGTAATTTTAGTAGTATTTCATCAGACGAGTGGGCTGAGAGAAGCCTGTCTTTCAGCTTCTGAGAGTATTTTTCCTTAGGTTAGGGAGCCAACAGGTTGTTATTCACTCAGAAGCAATAGAAGTCTGTCAGACTTTTTTTGAGAGAAACGTCATTTATCACAGTCTGGTAGATTCCTGTTTCTGTGTAAAAAGAAGGGGAAAATGTAAGTTAAATAAAGGACCAGTCCTCGTGTCTTGATAGTAAGAAATGCCTCTTCACTGCCCATGCCTCATCCCTCTTCCTTCCTGTTGGTCCAGGCTCCATCATGTGTTTGTTACACTGAATGCCAGGGGAGGGTTCCCACATGTCTCCAGGAAAAGCAAGAGGAAGCACGACTGCCATCTCTCAGTGCTTACTGACCCAAAAGATAAAGTTACACTTTCTATTTTTCTTAAGCAGGAATTATGTGAGTCAGGCCACTTGTCGCTGACACGTGAACTTATACCCATCGAATGAATTAATTGGTAGAGATGAGAACATTAATTTATTTGTGTAGGTGTGTCAGTAGTGCTCTGAGGGAAAAAGAGATACTGGTATAGTGTGAAAAATATCTTTATGGCCCATAACTGGCAAACATCTGATCGCCTTAATATATAAAGAGCTTGTGTAAATTGATATGAAAATAGTGAGTGTACCCGGAGAAAAATGGGCAAAAGATGTAAATGGTGGGTCACAGAAAAAAAATAAAAATGGCTGACAAAAACATGAAATGATGGTTCATTAGAGTCATGAGAAAAATGCGAACCAGAATAATGAGGTAGGATTGGTCACCTAGCATATTGTCAAAATTTCAAAAAATTGATAGACTCCAATGATAGCAAGGTTGTGGAGAAGCAGTCCCTTTCACATCATGGAAGTGTTGATGTGAATTGGTACAATCATTTTGGTTAGTGGTTTCCAGTAGTGGTTAAAATTTCAACTGCATTTACCCTTTTGCCCAGCAAATCCATCTCCAGGAATTTATCTTACTGATATTCTCACAGAATAACAGAAAATCATAAGTCTAGCATTGCTTGTAACTAGCAAATAGAAGGTAAGTTGCTACCACTTTATTATTTACCGTGTCTTTCAATAAGGGACTGGTTTAGTAGAAAATGATTCAGGCATATAATCCAGCACTACATGTTTGTTATAAAGAATGAGGTGGGCTTTTATGTTCTGATATTAGAAAGATGCCCAGGATAGATTATTAAGTGAAACAATACATTGTGTAATTTTATCTGTGTGTGTAGGTGTGTGTTAGAGTGCATCTACACATACATACACACTTGTATATTCATGCATATTCATAGGGAATTTTTGAAAAGAGAGAGGAGAAACTTGGCAATGTTCATCTTTGGGGAATAGGACGGTGGGGAAATTAGCATGCGGTCTTATAATAAAGCTCTAAAAGTAAAACCTATAAAGAAAATAAAATAATACCTGTACTAGTTTTCTATTGCTGTGTAATAAATTACCAAAACTTTAGTGGCTTAAAACAGTATCCATTTATTAATCTTATAGTTCTATAGGGCAGAAGTCCTGGTAGGCTTTATTTGTTTGAGCTTGGGGGGGCCTCTCCCAGTAACACAAGGCCAAAATCAAAGGAAGGTAGAAAATGGCACGCTCCTAGTTCCCTAGGAACCCTCACCTAGTTTTCGTGCTCAGGGTACCATAAGGCCAAACTCAAAGTGTCACTGGAGCTGGGCTCTTACCTGGAGACTGGGAAAGAGTCTGCTTCTGAGCTTGTGCAGGTTGTGGACAGATTGGGTCCTTGCAGTTGTAGGACAGGTCCCCATTTCATCCTGGTGTCAGCCAGAGGCTGCTGTCAGCTTCCGGAGGCTCCCTCCTCCATCTTCAAGCCCACAATGGCACAGCCAGTCCTTCTCATGCTGCAGATCTCTAACTTCTCCTGCCATCAGACACAGGAAATTCTTTCCTTTAAAGGGCTCATCTGATTGGGTCAGGCCCCCTCAAATACTCTCTGTATGTTAAGGTCAGCCAACTTGGGGCTTTAATAATATTAGCAAAAATCCCTTCATAGTAGTACCTACATGAGTGTTTGCTTGAATAACCAGGGGACAGGAATCTTGAGGAGACCATTTTCAGAGTTCTGCCTACCACAATATCACTTCCATATTGTATTTTGACTCCAATGGTAAAAGTATGAGCTCTAAGAGTAATAGAGAGGATGAGCCACAGACTGGAGGCAGATAAATAATTGAGACCT